GTAAGAACTGGACACTGCAGCAAACAGGTTCTAACTTGGAAAGTGAGTATATAAAATGACACCCTATAACACAAAAAAACTTCTTCCATGAAACTTCAGGGCTATATTTTGAGAAACAAGTTATAAGGCTTCTTACTGTTTGTATCTTCCAGCCAACACTGTTAAAGGAAGTATCTTCCAATGAATGAAAATGGTTGCTAAACATAATGAGGAAAATGGCTCTTTCATCAGACTGCAGCTGACATATTCTGGCATCCATAAACTTTGTTACTGGTGCTATTGCACAACACACAACAAACAAAAAAAAGGGAATCCAAACTGGTCTCTCAGTTTAAAATAAGTCTGCAGTGTTGACAGAAATAGACAGACAGATCTCTTTATATGATTTTTCTTTACTATCACAATAAAGATGATGATGACAAGCAGGGTAAAACTGATCAGCCATCTCCAAAGTGACAAACACAGAAAACTGGTGACAATTTACCAAACATTTTTCAGAGAAGGAAAGAGTATTACCTTTGTGAAATTACCCATAGTCTTTATTGAAGATGTGATGGTCTAAGAAGCTAAGAGAGGCAAGTTTGAAAGGTAGCATCTTTTATTAGAGGCAATCTCTTCTACTAGACAAGTTAATGAAGCTGGAAAAAAGGATGAGGCTTTTAGAAAAGTAGGCTTGTTTTACTGAAAGTGTGTCCATTTCTGCAGCCATATTAGCTGACCTAGTGAAAGATATTCTCTCTCCTTTCACATCATAACATTTTGATAGAGGAAAATGCTCAGAGTTCTTCCAAGAGAATACACAAAATTCTTTATATGGTGGCTATATTACTCTTTACATATAAAAAGACTAACAATGAATAATTGTTGCTGTCACATTTATCTAAAGTATTTGAGTAGTAGTAGTCGTTAGGTCATATTGTGCTTTGAATATGAAGCCTGAAAGTTACTGTTTGCAATCTGATTATGGGCATAACTGGCATTTCACCTTCCCTGTAGAGACCAGTACAATATGCTCCAGGAACCTGATCCAGGTTAATCTCAGAAAAAGTGGGAGAAGTATGTTGAAGGATGATATAGATCTTTTACTGGCTTCCCAAGCAGAGTGCATTTACCTTTTTATTTTTAAGCCTGATTTGCTTGTAAATACTAGTTTTTAAAGAGTTCTGAGACTTCCTCCTGCCCTTTTTGGTTTTATTCTTTCCTGTCTCCCTCTTCCACCATTCAGCCTGAAAAGGCTTACAAAGCTAGACATTATTTTTGGTGCAGTTTCTGTTGTGATTAAAGTTCAACATAGCATGCCCCCTCATGAGCAGCAGGTCTGTGTTGATGAAGTATTGTGAAAAAGAGCTGATGTTGCTCATGTGGAGTATTTTTATAGAACTTTTAGCCTCTAAGAAGAGCAGGAAGAATTAATTGTCCTTGTATATCCAACGATTCACATGGTATGGAAATCTTTAAAGTTCACCTATTCCTTTCATTCAGCCAAGCAAAGATACCGAATGAATTCTTGTACGTGGTGATGTTTACACTATTAAACTATCACTAAGTGCTGTAACAGGTGTTTCATTAACTAATAGCTGCTGGATTTCGCAGTCTGATGTTAAATTTCTACCTACTAATCTCAAAGTATGTAGCCTCAAAGTAGTTTATTGGGGAAAAAAAAGAATAATAGTAAGTTCCTTTATTTACATCTACTCATTTTTTAATTTACAGATGTGTCCACTCCTTATTCTGGTTAATATTTTACTGTCAAAATGTGCAGGAGGAAAAAAGATGGAGAAAGAAGTCAGAGCAGTCAATTAATTCAGTTTTGATATAATGGAGACTACTTGGATAATATATTGTGATCACCTTTTTTCCAAATATTGTACGTACAGAACACTCACACACTTGAGAGAGAGACTAGATGAGATAAGACTAGATGAAAGTAGATGAGACTAAAGAATTCCTTTTCTTCCTATTTTTTAATTACAGTTCATCCTTTTAGAAACAATGATAAATAAATGAGGGGAAAAAAAAATCCCAAAGATGAAACTGTGAAAACAACTTGGGCTTCTTACCTTGGCAAAGGTTTCCCAGGTTTGCACAACTCGTTGGTTCAATTGCAGAAGAGGGAATTAGGTATGAGCCTTTAGAAAAAGAAAGTATAATAATTAGAAAGGTTCAGCTACTGGGCATAAAATGATAATGTCTCAAAATGTATCTTGCAGTGACACAGTCCTTTAGTCCTCCTCCTAATTTCTCTCAGTGATAAAACTGATTCCATCATTTGCCTGTAAGACTTATGAGCTTTTATTTTATGTTGCAGCTGAGGGATTCATGAGAACCCTGCTGACCTGCAAGTTACAGTCAGTTACATATCCTCTCCCAGTTGTCTTAGCTTTTGCTACATAACATCACATGAAATGAATGCAGCTTGCATGCATTCTGTGAAGTGGTTCTAGGCAGAGGGGTCAGTATGGCCATAGGATTTATGAGATCTTCATGACTAATAATGTGTGCACTGGAGAAGCAACCACAGTCCACTGCTGCAACACAGGTTACCCACCACACATTTCTGAGTAATCTGCCTGCGACAGACACCAACTAGATAAAAGGTGATTAAACTTGTTCCTCTGCCCAGGGTGTGGGTGTGATTAATATTCTGGTATGCATGATTTATAAGCAGGTAATGTTATAAGTCTGTATCTCTGCTGAATTATTCATAACAACATGCACACACTTTGATGATCTGGAGACAAAACCAGGGCATATAAGAATGGCTACAGAAAAAGAGCTGGTAAAACTGCATTAATTACACGTTGTGTTTCCCAGAGGTTCAGCTGCAGATACAGCTGCTTGTGCATACTGTGTTGAAAATAATGGGGCTACAGAGCACAGCATAACCTGAACCTACTGGGAGCCTTGCCCTTTTAGCTTCTGCTTTACCACTTCACAATCAGATTAACTCAATGAGGTTCTGTCATGAAACACTGTAGCCTTCCATAAAGTTAAAGAGCCACCACTCACCAGCTTGTAAAGATAGCTAGGAAAATATTGCCTGTGTTGCAAGAACAGAAGCAGCGTGGAGCCTTAACACAGAAATCACGTCACGCCCCAGATACCGTGCATGTATGGCGTGACAAGGTTTTGTTAGTGAGGCAGGGGGGGCTACAGGAGTGTCTTCTGTGAGAAGGTGCTAGAAGTTTCCTCTATGTCTGAGAGAGCCAATGCCAGCTGGCGCCAAGATGGACCCACCGCTGGCCACGGCTGAGACCATTAGCCACAGGGGTACCGTGCATGTATGGCGTGACAAGGTTTTGTTAGTGAGGCAGGGGGGGCTACAGGAGTGTCTTCTGTGAGAAGGTGCTAGAAGTTTCCTCTATGTCTGAGAGAGCCAATGCCAGCTGGCGCCAAGATGGACCCACCGCTGGCCAAGGCTGAGCCCATTAGCAACAGTGGTACCACCTCTGTGATGACATATTTAAAGGAAGGGAAGAAGCCGCTACACAACTAGGCAACTGCAGCCAAACAAAGGAGTGAGAATATGTGAGAGAGAAAACTCTACTGACACCAAGGTCAGTGAAGGAGGGTGAGAGGTAGCTCCAGGAGCTGGAGCAGAGATTCCCCTGTGGCCTGTGGTGAAGATCATGGTGAGGCAGGCTGTCTCCCTGCAGCCCATGGAGGTTAACAGTGGAGCAGAAGGCTCTGAGGTGACCTTATTGTGGCCTTCCAATATCTTAAAGGGGCCTACAAGAAAGCTGGGGAGGGACTTTTTAGGATCTCAAGTAACAACAGAACTAGAGGGAATGGGGCAAAGCTGGAAGTGGGCAGATTCAGGCTGGATGTGAGGAAGAAGTTCTTCACCATGAGAGTGGTGAGACCCTGGAATGGGTTGCCCAGGGTGGTGGTTGAGGCCCCATGCCTGGGGATCTTTAAGGCCAGGCTGGATGAGGCTCTGGGCAGCCTGGTCTAATGGGAGGTGTCCCTGCTCATGGCAGAGGGGTTGGAACTGGGTGATCCTTGTGGTCCCTTCCAACCCTGACAGATTCTGATCTGTTTTGGCAGAGGACTTTGGAGCCCTGGTGGCTCGGTGGGTGGACTTGATGACCTTGGAGGTCCCTTCCAACCTAAATGATTCTATGATTCTATGACCTGCAGCCCATGGAGGACCTCTTGCCAGAGCAGGTGAATGTGCCCAAAGGAGGCTGTGACCCTGTGGGAAGCCCATGCTGAAGCAGGCTCCTGGCAGGACCTGTGGAGAGAGGAGTCCATGCTGCAATAATTTTGCTGGCAGGACTTGTGACACTGTGGAGAACCAGCACTGGAGCAGTCTGTTCCTGAAGGACTGCACCCTGTGAAACGGACCCATGCTGAAGCAGTTTGTGAAGAACTACAAGGCCATGGGAAGGACTCATGCTAAAGAAGTTCATGAAGGACTGTCACCTGTGGGAGAGTGTGCATGCTGGAGTGGGGAAAAAGTTTGAGGAGTTCTTCCCCTGAGGAGGAAGAAGTGGCACAAATGATGTGTGATGAACTGATTGGAACCTACATTCCCCATCCCCCTGTGCTGTCCAGGGGACAGAGGCATACAAATTTGGAAGTAAAATTGAGTCCAGGAAGAAGAAAAGGGTTGGGGGAAAGATGTTTTCAAAATTTGGTTTTATTTCTCATTATCTTACTTGGATTTTATTGGTAATAACATTTAACTAACTTCACCAAGTGGAGCCTGGTTTTCCTCTTGGCGGTAATTGGTCAGTGAACTCTCCCTTCCTTATCTCAACCCACAAGTCTTCTGTTGTATTTTCACTCCCCTGTCCATCTGAAGAGGGGAGTGATAGAGTGGCTTTGGTGGGTGTTTGATGTCCAGCCAGGGCCAACCTACCTCATCCGTATACTTTAAAGAGGAATATTTTCAGTGGATATCTTTAATAAGTTGGGGTTTTTTTAAAGTTTTAATTAGTTTGAATTCTGGCCAGACTGGAATTTCTCTCAGTATCCTCTAAAGAAAATAGAATGATTTGGATGCAAACAGAGACTTGTCATAAGCTACTTCAGGAAGTGAAGTAGCATGGTCAGAAATGTGATCAGCAGATATGGACCTGCATTACAGACACTTTGTGTGATGTATCTCACTCACTTCAAATGTCTAAAACTCAGACATCTGTATCTGCTCATCATGCTAGATTTTCTTTATAGCCAGTGGAAAGGAACAGGCACTCCTACAGCAAAATACTTCTTATTTCACTGAGACATCTTCTCCAGTATGAGACGCACTGACCTTTGGAACAGTCCTTTTCATTCCACTGTTCATAAACAGCACTGAAAGCAATTAGCTCAGCTTGAAACATCATTCAGCTGACCATAAAATTAAAAATTCCTCTGGCCTTTGGGAATGGAGAACTCATATGAAGTGTACATGTAGCAAATGCAATTGCAGGCATGGAAAGACATGCGGCCATGTTATCCTTGAACTGAGTAGATCATGTCCTGCTATAGGTGTAGGCAGTGCAGGCTTCAAAGTCACTACCAAAAAGTTGATTAAATGCTCCTCTGTTTGCCTGTGCTGAGCTCTGAACTGGTGGTGTTATCATTACCTGGGCTACTTGTTTTAAAATTAGTCTGGTTACCCAGGCTGTATACATATACCTTTAAAGGCAATCTGTGCAAAGGTATGGCAATAAAACCAGAATTCTGTGAAGTGTTACAGAAACACCCCACCATGACTGCACAGCTGTGAAAACAGTCTAAGGAATAAACTAAGAGAATGTAAAACTATAAAGAGAGTATCTGAAACAATCTGCCAGTGTTTTTATGCTCCATAAATCTAGTTGTAAAAGTTTTGTCTGAAAAGCCATAAAAATAATACCCCTTGAAAAATGTAAGCACTGTTCAGGCACAGATAAATTGAGATTACTGCTAAATGTTTCATTTGGGTTTTTTAAAGTTACGTGCCACTTCCTGGGGAAGCATTATTGGAGCTATGTGAAAACCTCTTTTCTGCATAAATCCTTCCACTGCTGCTAAATGAAGCCTAATCAGTTAGAGTCATCTCCCCACCATCAGTGGTTTATTCATGGTCAATAGCCTGACTCATCAACTCTCCTGTTGAAGGCTGGTTCTACAATGAAAGCTTTTGTTCACAAAGATGAAGGGAAGAAAATTCTAACAATTCCATCTCTGGGATTAGGAACCATTTCTGAAATGGCACTGCACCCAGTATTTTCTTTTAGGAAATACCCTGGCTCAGGAAAGCCTGTATCATAGCGGGTAATTTAACATCTTTGAAAGAAAAAGACTGACTAATGAGTTAGTTTTTCTCATAGGTTTAGTTAGAGGAAATAACAATGCTTACACATAGCGACATTTGAAGTGGCTTGTACAGACACCTGGGCTTAACATATGAATAAATAAAATAATGTTCTGCTGTAAGGAAACCACAGAACAATGACATTCCAAGGAATAAAGCTGTGGAATGAAAATTAGTGGATTGTTTCTATGACCACAGCTGCAATAGGACATTTGTGTTACAGGACTTCAGTCTTGAACAGAAAGAAGGACAAGACCTTTACTTGACTCAAAATGAAATGACACTGCAACATTTACAGATGTCTCCATAGGTTGTTTAGTAAAAGTGTTGTGGTAGTCTTCACAGCATAACAGTGTAAGTGTAAGATTTTCTAGGAAGTTATTTTCTGTCAGATCAGTTCATACTTATGAAAAAGCAACAACTTTTTTTTTATCAGAATGCCTTCGCCAGCCACAGTCAATGTTTAGATCAGCCTTTTCTTTGTTCTGGTAGAGGGGTGAAGGTACCTAGCTGATCACGTTTTTACAGAGTTGTTGTTAAATTTTTTTACCAGGAGCATGTTCAGAGCTGTCCCAGCAAGCCTAGCTATGAATGAGTACATCACATTTTAGTTTGACTAAACAAAAGCAATCAAGATGGGTTTTTTTAGCCACCTTAATCACTCATGAGCTATTAGATATAGAAACTAGCATGACTTAATGATGCTAGTTTCTGTTTTAAGCTAAGGATTCTCAGAGTGCTGATAGAGTGCTAACAGTGCTCCTGTTTTCCCAGGAGACACTTATATTGACACTATTTAAACTATGAGTTAAACAAATAAAAAGCAAGGTGTCAGAGTAGCAAGAAGGCAAAACTGGAGAGGACAGCATTAGATATTAAGAGACTCCATGTGGTTCAGAAAGAACTAACATTTGCAACTGTTTAACTTATTTTTACTTATTTTTTAACAAATAAGTATTTGCTCCAATAGGAGGGCTCAAGCTGGAGCTTGATAGCAGTTGATTTTCACAAGCATCATATGTGTGTGTAAAGGCTACTGCTGGCCATGATTCAGATTTCCCCCTATGCATTTCATAATTATCCAAATATCTCTAAATTTGTTACTAACCAATCCATTCTCTTATTTTTTTTAAAAAATGCAGATCTAAAGTGATGAAGATTTTTCAGATTGTATTTTTTTTTAATCTGGAAAAAAAATGGTCCAGTCAGAAATGGTCAATTAGTTGTAATAATATATACATTTATAAAAATTATATCTGTACACTTATGAGAATCGTTTCTGAGCTATGAAATGAGAATAGCTTGGACAATATACTGAAATTTATCTTCTGAAGTAATCTGCAGAAAGAAAGATCTCAAATAACTTCCAATTAAAAGAACTAATAATATGGCATCAGGAAGATAAAACCTGATGATTTTGTTCTAAAAGTCTCCTTTCCTGTGTTCCTCCTCCAATTTCTACTTTTTTTTGTCTCGGACTTTTCTGTCTTACGCACTGCTGTCTGGTCACTGCTTGTGCTGGCTCTTCACACACAGGACAAGGCTAGCAAGTGCTCCTTCTGGCTAATCAAAGGGCAGGTACGAAAACTTTTATTACACAGTTAGTTAACACAAATTTTCTTCTCCAGAGACCACTGTACTCCTACTTGAGGCTAGCAGGTACTTGCCTCTTATCTCCATTTTGTATGAATAGAAGGCAAATAAACAAACTGCTTAAGAAAAACTTTGATTTGCAAGTTGTTTCAAGCAAGAACTCCATATACCTGAGGGACTTGTTCTTTTCCTTTAGAGAATCAACTCTATACCCTCTCAAAGCCTCTGTGTATGGTATGAGTTGAGCTAAAGTCTAAGAAAGGTAAGACTTAACTGCTTTTCTTTAACAGGAACTCTTTTTTTTTTTTTTCCGACCCTGGTATATGATATATTCAGCACAATGCAGAAGTGTGGGGGGAAAATAAGCAAAAAAGATTTGGCAAGGCATACTCACCACAACTCAAATTGTTTTCTGCTTTCAGTGCTGAAGTTGGAATACTCCAGAATTCATTTTCCCAGTCTACAATGTTTCCTTTCACATCGCAGCTGAGGTTGGCCAGTGTTTGTGCATTCATGGTGAAATTCCAGAGGCGGAAGTTGTAAATGTCCCCATTTAGAGAGCTCACTTCATTGCTGTTAGAGCCCAGCCACAGCCTCCCATTTCCAGGGATAACTTTGCCAAAGATACCCGGACAGTATACTATATGATAGGTGCTTTTGGCATATATGCCTATACTGCCCGAGAAGCTATCCCCTACGACACAGAGCTGTTGAAAGTTTTCTGTGAAAAACTCTGCATTTCGGGGCAATGCATTCTCAAGGATGCACTGTGTGCCTGAGATGGACAGAAAATGGCCTCTTGTGGTCTTCCCGAAGCTGAAGAGTTCTGTTGACAATGCATTGGTGTAGGAGAAAACCTTCCAGTCATCATTGTCATCACTGCTGCCCTTGGTTGCTTCAAAGCACAGTGTGAACTGGCTAAGCTCTGGCACTGAGACAGTCTCTGCTACAAACACAGCATCAACGTCAGGAACCTGGGGAATGATGACTTTCTGGTTCCTCAGAGACACAGCAACTAGAACCAAAAGCAGATAAATAAGTGACCAAAAAATTATTCATCATACAGAAATAAAAGCAGACTAGCACCACGGGTTAAAGTAACATTCCTTAAATCAAACTTATCAGGTGATTTTTATCGCTGTAATACACCAATAACACACACGACAGGGAATTTGGCTTGGGAGTGCACTCAGCTGAAAATCTGCAGAGCTCCTTCTCAAGAGCATGGAGAATGCTGTGCGACACAGTTGCCAATCCCTCAAGTTGCGTTAAGAGCAACGTTAGGACTTATTACCTAATAACTTGCAATTCTGCCTCAGCTCACTTTATAAAAATTACTTCTCATTCATCTAGTAAGGATGCATTAGGCAATGGAATAAACCAGTTATTTGAAAAACACAGCATGACTTACTTTTACAGTGTATTACTTTAATTACTTGTCTGCATGATGGCATTACATCAATGAATTTCAGGTCTTGCTTCTTTTAAATATGGCAATAGAAGAAAGCCCCCATTACATTTTGTTCCTGAATTCAGCTAATGGGTTTAAGCAAATCATTTAGGCATCTTCTCATTTCATCCCCAGCAGCCTTCTGGTTGAATATTCCGTTTGTGTGTTCATGAATGCTTATATCCAAGCTGTTCACTATTCGCTAATATTTGAGTCAGCAGTTCTGGATTTTGCCCAGGTATCTAGAAATGGCTAGTCTTCTTGCAAATATGCACTGCAGTAAGGGTATTCAGACACAGGCAGGATTACTCTGTATCTAATCGTTATTAAGTATTCTTCATTTGCACTGACAAAATGGCAGTTACCAAATGTGAAAAAAAGTAGCACACATCATATGCTTTTTTTCCATAAGTTTATTAATGACAACTCTGTTCACCCTACTTTGGAGAAGATTATTTTTCAAAATAAAGTGTCAATAGGCTCAGTTTTATTGGCACATTTACAGCAACAAAATTCTTCTAGTAAATTTCTCCACAGAAAGAAGCTTTAAGTTATCAATCACTCAAAGGCATCAATGCCAACAAGACCAGATTGCAGCAACCCTCTCTTCTGGCTCCACAGTTCTGTGGCAAACCACATCTCCGACAAATTTCTGCTACCTCTTTTATACATTTTCAGAGTGTGTATACTGTAAGTGAAACTAATTTTTGCTAGACCTGAAGAATAACTGCCACAGTAGTTAGTCTCCCCTGGGATTTTTAAGTGATGCCACACTTACTTACATTAATTACTACACCTGTTCCCTTCACAGAATGAAATTAAAACCCTTAAATATGAGAGGGTGAGACATGATGGAGGGCTGACTGTCACACCACATTCAGGCAAAGAAACAGATACATGGGGTATAAGGATTCTGTGTAGTCTGTGGTACTCCAATTTCCCTTTGCCAGGTGCTTGCAGAGACTATGAGCTCCAAATTACCGTATTTGGATATACACAAGGACATAATTTGACCAATATATTATATAGTAAAGTAAAATAAAGCATTGCACATTATCTGCCAACCCAGCAACTGGAGAATGGGAGGGAAGAGAGAAAAATACTGGGGCTTTTATAGTTACTGGATTTACTTAAAAGATTTTTTTTTTTCTTCACAAAGGCGAAAGTATGTTGCAACAATTTTATAGATAGAAAATGTGTTCAGCTCTCCACTGAAAACAGGGACATTTTTTTCATGGGTTAATTACACTGTAAGCTTCTTTATGTAACATGGAAAGTGTTCCAGAACTATAAGGATCCAAGACTTGAAACAAGAAAAAAGAACATTCATATGAACACTGCCCAGCCTGTGTTAGGGTAGTCAGGAGAGTCATGGACCACCTGATCACATTTAAATAGTACAGGAAGAGAAATAAACTATAAGGACATTGTTCCAGTACTGAACAATTCCACTCAACTTTGCTGAACTCATCCGACAGATTTAACCATTGGCACCTTCCTCATACAGTGAAAAGACAAAACTGGTAAGTATTTTGATCACATGGAGAAAACAAAATCCTGCCATCGGTGTTAAGTACAAATTTCTTTCCTGATTAATGTTGCATAGCCAGTCATCATACTGATGAATTTCAGATGTTAGTATTGGAGAAACAGGTTATTCTCTGAGGAAAAATGGACCTATATTCTTGGAATATTTATCCAAGTGTTTAGACTACTTTCGGAATCATGTTAAATTGTTCCTGTTACAAAGACAACTGGCCTAGAATGAATGTGGGTTTTTTTTTGGACACTGCTGTTTACTCGTGAAGAATGTACAAAAGTCTTGGAAGCCTGGACACCACAAGAGTGACTAGCAATGGGCAGCTCACTGTTCCGAGATCCACATTTGCTTTTATGGGATCACTGGGATGACACAAGGCCTGCTTCTGCTGCTTTTTAAAGCCCCTAGTTTACTTGCAGCTCACTGTCCTACAGCTCATATGCCCCTTAACACACAAGCAAGCCAGGAGTCCCTAGATTGTATCTTACAATCCCCTGCAGCAAAAACTGCCTTCCTGTCAGGGTTTGCAATGCAGTTCAGTGGCTTCTGCTGTTCCTAGTTTCACTGCTTTCACTTGGCCTTTCACTGATGCTGGAAGAAGTGCATCAATTTTAATGACATCTGCAAGTGTTTCTTTACCAAACACCTGCTTGAGAGTTTTTTTGGTACTAACTGAAATGCTGGGGTTAAACCCCCAGCGCTGAATGAGGATTGGTATGTGGATGATGTCCACAACCAGGCAAGAAAGGCCCTCCTGATTGGTTTTCACCCAGGGTCTGGCCAGCCTTGGGTGGGAACTGATGAGAAGATTGCCACCAGGTCCCCCCTCCTTCCACATTAACTTGGAGGTGGGACAAGAAGCCACCTCTATAAGAACTGACTGCTTGGAATAGAGGTAGCAAGTTTGTCTGTACAGTGGATGAGCTAGGTGTGGGTTCTGGTTATTGAAATAGCTCCCTGACTCTTCATAGGAGGCAAAGTTTCCAGGACAACACAAAAAGATCATGACCTTTTCTCTTGGCAATTACTTTGGGATTGAGCTGATTGCCTGCATCCTTCCTTCCCCCATGACCTGGTTTTGGAACTGATTTGCTCCCTTCTTCTGCATATCCTGTATTGTAAGTGAATGCATTGGTTTGTTTGTTCCTCCAGTAGTGGGTCACCTTGATCTTTGGTGTATGATTTATGAGTGGAGGGAGGACTTTGGTTGCTGGTTTGCCTGTTGATGATAATATCTTTCCTAGTTGGGAAGTACTCAGTGGAAGACTAATGCACTGAATTGTGCTTCTCTTCTGGGCTACTGTAGTACTACTCAACTGTGTCTTAATTTTACATGACATTGTATCAAGTATTTCTGTACTAACAGAGGTCTGTTGTCTTTCCTTCCTCTCCTTTTGGTAACTGAATAACTTGCATTCATAGGTGGAGCTAACACTTAAGTAGTTAACTATTACTGGAAAGTTATTGAACTGTTAGTTTTTTAGTTGATGTAAATTGACATAATTCCCTAAGAGTAGCATAGCTGCACTCATTTAATGCAGCTGAGGATATGGCCCATCCACCTGCTGTTGGTGTGTTGCAGGAGGTGGCAACCAGGAATGCCAACATTTGTGCAGGTGGACAGTGTGTTACAGCTAACAGGACAGGCTCTGTGAAACTGAGCTTGAAACTGCTCTTACATAAAAGCTAGCAGCCACACAAAAGCTGTTGTGTTCTCAGCTAACTCCACTCCCTCACAGACATCACTTACTCTCTCATATTTGTCTTTCGCCACATATATTGTCTTGTGTACATATTGTATATTAGGATGTACCATAAATGTTTTTTTTAAATGCTAGATAGCAAATAGCTGTGTTTTTGAATAGCCCTTTAACTTCCAACTTTGCATTACCTAGCAAAACTTAAAATTGAAGAAACTACTTAGTTTTATTTGCATATGATAATTTCTGATAAATAAAAGAAAATATGAACATAACACTGTTCTTGCTCTGGGGGAAATTAATGATTTTGCCCAGGTATCATGTTCCTAGTAGTAACAATGGTGTCAGCTTGACAAAGGAGCTTTGAAACTCCATTGGGGATTTGAAGTGAGGGGGTGTGCCATCTCTCTTTGCAGAAAAACACTTTGCAAAGAAAGAAGTTCTTTGCAAACTCTTTGAGAAGACAGGAGAGCATAGCACTGACATCTGCCATGCAGATGTGTTGTAATTTTAGTGTATGTGTTCAGTGATGTTCTATTGTCTACATCCTTTTATAGCTTGAAAGGAAAGCAATAAATTCTCTCTACAAAATCTCTTTTCTGTATCCACTGCAAGGTTAAACGTTGCCATAATCTTTGTCTTTACCTTCTCAAACAAATGTAATTGCACAACTGTGGGCAATAAGTAGACTATAGTTGTAATTTGCCATAGAAGCATTCAGCCTGCTCTCCTGGCATCCATGGTCAAAATCAAGATGTCAGGTGTGAGTTATAGATTTTGAGTAATAAAATTCAACATCCTTAGTGTAGATGCTTAACAGTAAACCTTAACAGAGAGTTTTTGAACCAATATATATGTGAAACATTAAAATATAAACCACTGGTGAAGGTCATTGATACCTTTACTCACACTGGGGATTAGTCTTCTTATTCAAAATGAAGGAATATTTTCCAAGACTATTTAACTTGAATGGTGTTATCCATGAATGTAAGATACAATGCAATTTAGCATGGAGATGCATTTTTATGAATACAAAAATAGTATTACCTATAGGTACATACACAAATGATATGCTGACTACACCTGTGGGCCTTTCTTCTCTTCCTCATTGAACTTATCTGCAGGCAACATTACATCTTTCAGTTCCAATTATAAGGCATCATATTCCTTACAGTCACGCTTAAACATTAAAATATTAGAGGAATAAAGAAATAATTTTGCATAATCTAAATGCATATGATTTTTTACGATCCTGTTGATTTTACAACTTCTTACAATACAGCAAGTGCTGTTATTTTCAAGTAGAGAAGTCTTTCATAAAATTTGCTTACGCTT